TATGGTCCTTTTTCAAGCGGTTCGGCGCGACACATTCGAGTGGTGCAGCAGCAGCAGCAGCGTTCGAGGCACACAGTAACGATGTGCCGCACTCAAAAGCAAATTGTATGACCCTCGAAGAATTTTATCTCTCTGGCTGGCTGGTAAGCGTTTTGTTATTTCGGCCAAACAAAATCGCTCGCTCGTCGGTACGCGTCACGCCGAATGGGCAATTCGAACGCGCGACTTACTACACATCGGCCCCTGGAAGAATAATGGAAAATTTATCGGGCCGCTTCGATCGCGCCTCGACGTCGCGGCCAATTTTCGTGCGCGGAGATAGCACGTAGAGGAGAGCTGACTTCGCGCGGTGCTCGCACCCATTAGCCGCACGTCCAAAGCGATCTGTATCTCGTGTGCATGTCTGTAGGTGCAATACCGCGCGGCGCTTTCATCTCTCTTTACACGCTGATGCAGTTGTAAAAGGACGCGAAAGACAACAAGAAAGCGTAAGATAAAAAATAAAAAAAAAAAAAGAGTAAAAAACTCATCAATCAACAAACATCATGAAGAACTCGAATCACATTTCCAGCTTCTTTTTTACTCGACTACTTTATTACAGGGTTCGGGCGCGCCAGAAGTGCTGCAGCTCTCGCGTATAGCTGCAGCAGAGAGCTACTGCTGCTAGTTTGACTTTGATTTGTCTTGCACCGAGGTCTATCTTGATAAAGTCGGAGGAAGAAGTAGAAGAAGAAGAAGAAGAAGGAAACGAAGTCCGCGAGAGCAGCAGAAGCAATGGCAACCTTAGCAGTAACGGTGATGGTAGTAGTAGTAGTAGTAGTAGCTCGTAATAGTACATAGCTGAAAGGTGTGTGTACTTAAGAAAATTAGGATCCAAGCGAGGAAGAGAGAGAGAGAGAGAGAAAGAGAGAGAGAGAAGGCGAGTTTTCTTTGCCGTTAGCGCAGTAGCAAGAAGATCTTCCTGTTAGAATTTACAATTAGGAAGTACAAGTCTTGTGGCTGTGTGTGCGAGCCCGCGCGCGCGCGGAGGCAGCTATATACGTGTGTGTCTTTGCGCTATACTATACACTCTTCCTTTGCCGCGCGTCTTATACCTCTCTTCTCCCAAAAGATAGTATATAAGGGGATAGTAGTGCCTATTTTCCTCTTTCTCTCCCTCTGATGTGGTTGAAATAGAGGTTATATTACTAAGGAGAGAGACGTATACGCAGGTATAAGTCTCAATCCCTTTCTTCATTTTGAAATGTAAGTCGCTCGCGAGTAATTTGTCACAGAGAGCTGCTGCTGCTGCTGCTGCTGCTGCTGCTGCCGCTGGAGTCTCTACCTGTGCGCGCACCCCCACTGCTGCTGCTGCACACCTATACATTGTTTAATTGCCTTGTGCAAATCTTGTACAGCCTGGGTTGGCGGTTATATACATGCACGCCAAGATCTTTGTACGTGTGTGTGAATGCGCGCTATATTGTACGGTCTATAGACAGAACAAGTTTTCCCCGGAATTTGCGTAGAGAGTAAAATGACGTTGTCGCGCTCGCGCGGAGATTAATGATATCTATACGTTTAAAGGCTGCCGCGCGTCTCCGTCTGTTCATAATTCGAATTGTTTTTTTTATTTCGTTTCGTACTTCACCTTTGTTAGCACTTTCAATAATTAATGATTTTCTTGCCATTTCGTTCTATCTATCTATCTCTCTCTCTTGACTCGAGTCGTCTCGCTTGTGTGTGCGCGTTTTTTAGCGTCGAAATCGATCGAAACGAGCTACTCGGAAACTTTGTATAATATTCTTTTTAGCCTTGCGCGCGCGATATAGGTATACACTTGCTCGAGCTCCTCGAGCCTCGCTTATCTCGCTCGATGTTAATTGTGCAGCGAGCCGCACGTAAAGAGAGAGAGAGAGGAAGAGAAAAAGACTGTACGTATATATCTACGAGGAGGAAGATAAAAGAAGCTTTTATGGCTAAAGTCTTGCATCGATCTTAGCTCGGGCGGTGGCGGGGGCAGCAGTAGATCGAGGATTGTCGCTTTCGTTTGGATCACCGAACGTCTCGCTTCTTCGTCTTCCTTTATCTTTAATCTTTTCCTCTTCGGACGAGTAGACGACGAAGGCCTTGTATAGTATAGCCCGCGAGCGAGCGAGCGAGGGATGGGAGGATGGGTATAGAGAATAGAATGAGGAAAGCGCAGCGATTTTTATACGCCGAAGATGCCTGCCTTGTTACGCTCGCCGGGGCATGATCTCCTCCGCTTCCTTTTTCTCGTTCTCTCGGTTACCACCGGCGCACCGTCACCGCCCGGTATAATGTACACGAGAGATCCACTTGTTTCCTCGTCGCGTAATAACAATATCAATATAGAATAACTCGAGCGTAAGAAAATTCGAATATATATTTTAACGAAATTACAATAGTCGAAAAAAGCGCACGAGCCCGGGTGAAACGTTAGAAGCGAAGCAACCAATTAAAAAATTCACCCCCCTCCTCCCTGTGTGTGAGCGATCGCGCAGGCCGTCTCGTACGTATACGTACACCCCCTTCGTGACTCGACGTTATTCCGTGCACGTCGGTCATTCCTCCTCTCCCTCTCCCTCTCTCTCTCTCTTACTCTTATGGTACTATACTACAGCAGCTGCTGTTGCTGCAATTATGCGAGCGCGCTTTTAATGATGTCCGAGCCTAGGAGGAGAAAGAGAGAGAAAGAGAGAGAGATCGCGCAAAACTGATCGCGTTACCACCACCACACCTACTCTCTTCGAAGCTGACTTCGACTTTTCGCTATATACCTACATGGAGTTTAGCCCGCGCGTGTGCACAGCTGATCGCAAGGCTTTATACACTATACCCCTTCGATGTGGCTACATGTAAGCCGTTTCTGTGTGTATACGAGCGTACAACTCCGTGCACGCTTATCTTTTCATTATTTTTCGCCACTAATGGTGATTAATTGGCCTTGTGATTCGATCCCGGCGATACCAGTTTAATATTCTTTGTTGTTTTTTTTCGAGCTTTAAAATAGTAGTACCACTATGAAAAAAATCCACGTAATTCACCGATGCTATACACACGAGATGTCGGTGTTGGTCGTCGTGATTTCTTAATCCGAGCCAACGCGAAGGTTCTCCCGCTGAGCATGAAGCGATGTTGGCATGTGTATCGAGATCGAAGCTCGGAGTTAACAAAAAAAAAAAAAATTTGCACGCGTGGTAAACGTGTTGCGCGCTCCTCGACGAGCTTTTTCGAGTGAAATTGATTTTGTAAGCGCAGTATCTCTGCTTTTTATAATTGAGACTTTTGATGAATAATTTTAATTGCGAATTTTTTAAAATAAATTATTTTAATCGGTTTTCGGAAAAAGAATTTTTTTATGCACTTTGTGTACTTAGCAGTTATCACAAAGCGCAGTGGCGTCAAAGCGAATAAGAGTCGGGAAATATTTTTTGCCTTTCAGATGTATATAGAGCTGTATGACAGATACTTGCCAGAGCGAGCGCGCTCCTCGATCAAAGCTTATTACCGTTGAAAATTAAACTCAAAACCCGACCTTTTTTTACATCGAATTTTTCGAAACTTTTTAACTTATTGAAGTTTTCTATCATTGAATCTGTGTACAACATCGTTTCCAAGCTTGGTATTTATGGGCAAAGTCGAGTTCAAAGTTTTGTTTCATTTTTTTCCACCCCTCTACGTATACGTTTTTTAACTCCGCAAATCAAGCTTTAAACGCAACAAAGTCAATGATTAAGCCATATAAGAAGATTTCAACTCTCGAGTCATAAATATTGTCTAGGCTGGGTACATAGCATGCAGTACATGTGTGTATATACATCACATAATATATAAACGGAGAGAGAGAGGGGTATAAACGTTGTACCGCTCAGCAAAGCGGAAAAATTACTAAAAGCTCGCGACTTCGTCCGCCCGCATACGACAGAAAGAGAGAGAGAGAGCTAGATCGTAATCCTCGTAACCACACCAGCAATTTGTTATGTTTATAACCCACGAAAATGCTTTTCTCTCTCTCTATCTCGTTGAGCATGTTCTCTTCGCTTACTCTTACCATATAGTTTATATGTACTAATCGTATCATGATTTATGCTCTTTGGTAAAAAACTATACTATAAGACATTGTAAGAAAATACACATTTGGGAACAAAACAAGTTTTCCTTAATTTAAAACATTGAATGATTTATTCAAGCTTTTTATGCTTAATACATGATACCTGACTCGGTCGTAATGGCCAACATTTTATGTCTGATTAGCAAAAAAGATTTTTGATCATGCAAGAGCCATTAGAACTGAACATTTCTTGACCGAAGATGTAGCTTTTTTTATATATTATAATCGATAATAAAAAAATTCGTTACATCGAAATTTTTTAAGATCGTATTTTGACTTATACAATCATTTGTACTTTGTCACTTGCGCATTTACAGATAAAGGTAGTTGCCATCTAGCGGTTGAGTCATGAGAACCTATATTGCAAGTCACCGCAGAAGCGAGTTTTCTTAATTATACAATTCTTTTCACTTTGCACATTTACGGATCAAGGTACATTATCAGTAAAATTACCAATAACAAGCCAATTCATGGTAATGTATTTAAAAACATTTTAAACTATAATTTTTGTTACGAAACCAATATTTACGTTAAAAATTTCTACCAGGATGAGTGTTGGCTTATATCCGTTAAAATATTTTCATGCAATAAAAAGGAATGTTTGTACAAAAAAAGAACATATTTTTGATTGTATGAGTTGAAAATTCTTATAAATATCTTAAAAATTTATAAGTACGTACAATATTGATTTCAAAATTACAATAAGTCTATCACAGAACCTATTTTAGAGAACAAATTTAGAATTATAACGCCAAAAAAGATATTTTCAAACTACTTATCTTATCGAACTTATTCATAAAGACTGAATCCCTTATGCACAAGTTTTTAAAATCAGATTTTTTAAGTATGAAATATGAACAAATTTAAGAAAATTAAGAAAATTCTATTGGTGTTTCAGAATTTTCCAGATCGGAACTGGTGAGCTTTTATTATTCTACGTATATTAAAAAAAAACAATAAATCAATAAAAAAATATATGGCTATTTTATAATTATGTTATGTAATTTTTTTGGTCCGGTTAAACGACCAAATTCATTGATTTCTCGAGGTTTGTTATAATCGGTTTCGTCTAAATTTTTTCTCATAGAAAATGAATTATTACAAATCGAAGTTAAAAAATATCACCCGTTGTTGATCAACTTATGGTATGGAGAGCAAAGAGTATGTGTAAACGCTCGCATCACTTCTTGGCTCAATGGCCAGGCTAAAACCACCCGGTGGAATTAGACTAAAAGATTCTTTGCTGTACGAGAGAGGTGAACATGTCTTCTCGTTGGGCACTAAGTTGAATTTCGACAGCAGAAAAAATAACATTAGCTTCGTTTGCATTATGGCGAAGCGATTGTTGCTGTAAAGTCTCGGGTTAATACCCAAGCCCAAACTCGAGACATCATTTACGGTGACTTCTTTCTGGTAATACCTGTCCGGAATGAATTTGTCAGCGTCGTTGTTGTATTTGGGATCTCTGTTTATCGATACAGCGGGAATCCACAAGCTCATGCCCGGTTGAACAACGAAAGGCTCGGAACCTTCCAAAGCTGGCGGAAGCTCGAAGGCTTTGTTGCACGATCGGCCGTTGAAGGGAAATTGAGGATGTAGCCTGATAGACTCCTTGAAAATGGCATCGAGATACAGCATTCTCTCGAGGGCTTCGAATGTTATTTCTCCTTTATTCCTCTTCAAAACGTCGTCGATTTCTTCTTGAAGTCGTTTCTGGATATCTGGATTGATGGCCAACTCGTGGACTATTATACACATTTGGGTGGAGGTAGCATCGAAACTGCCGCGAGATAATGAGTAAGTCACAATTTCAGGGACTTCTTGGAACTTCAAATTCTTTCCCTTCTTGATCTGAGCGACCTTCATCAGTGAGATTATGTCCGGTCGACTGGCTCCTTTCTCGTCTTGAGTTGCGATCATAGTGTTCACGATGCAGTTAAAAAAACGCTTGACTCGGTTGCTAAAAAGTCTTAAAATGTTGAACCACTTCATTAAGTTGGGAAATGATCTGATGATGAACAATTTCATGGTCTTATCATCACCGCTGGTCGTGACCTTTTGACCAAAGACTAACGATTTATTTTTTGGATTTTCGAAGGAATCCTCGATGATATCATCATAAACACATATACCTAAGATGTCATTAGTAAGCATTTCAAACATGTTCTTGGTGTCGATCGTTTTACGAGCCTCTTCCGGCAGATCGCTCAAATAATTAACGAAATTTCGTCCGTACTCCAAAATCAATTTGAACTTTTCCTTTAACTCCTTGGAGGTCCAGGACTTACAGTAGAGCGCGCGAGGCCCTTCAAAGAGGTCGCCGCCTGTGTCAGGCACGCCTCGGCTCAAGAACCCGCTTTCTGTTATAATATCTAGATCTCTCACGACAATTACAGGTCGCATGAAGTTGAACGCCCCGATGTACTTGGCTTTCGAATTGTACTTGTAAATGTAGTTTATCGTCTCGCTAATGTGATTGATATGAAACACCGCACTGGCCATTGATCCGAAAAACGGTACTCCAGGCACGTAGGGTAAGTTCAAATTCTCGAAATACCGCAGACGCTCATATAAACATAAATAGATCGCGTACAAAACGACGCCGGCCAACAGCCAAGCTATTAGGTCCATGTTTACCAATGATGAAAACGATGATTTGAGGCACAATGAGAAAAATTAACGTCCAAGACGCGACCGAAGATTGTCGCGAAAATTCTCCCTTTCTTCTCCGAAAATTCGTTTTGTTACTTTTTATTTGATCTTGTTTTTAAGAATATTATTCAGATAAGTTAAGATGAGTTACGCTATCTAATTAAGCGTGAAAATAATAGTTCACAATCAGCTGGTTTAAAGTCTTCTTGAAAATATATTTAATAAATGCACAAGCAGGGTTCATTCACTTTTAATTATTTTTTCACAAGTCGTAAAAATAAGGCTTGTTTTAACTTCAAGATACTTTAAAAAATTAAATTAATTAAACTAAAACGACAAATCTGTAAACTGCTGTATACGATTGAGATGTAAATAAGAATAATTGCCGTTACAACATTGCCAGCACAGCAACATAATTGAGTTACGACAACAAATGAAATGTAGGTATTGTAATGATTGTTATATTGGTATTATATTGTTATATAGGTATTGTTATATTGGTATGATTTTAAAGTTTTCTGTGAATGCTAGGTTACAGTCTGCTTTGAAAATTATCAAAAATATCTAATAAGATATAGATATATTTGGGTCTAACCTATGCATAATGTATATAATTATTTGAGTAGATGATTGATCTTGTAAAATTTTGATTTGTTAATTTTAAAACATAAGTAGTTTATTCAAATCGAATTGAGCAAATTATGATTTCTATGTTTAGGCTATAAGAACAAAAAACTTCTACAAGCATTTATCTGATGCAGTTATCTAACCATTCCACATTGATGCCTCGTGCAGCTCTATATGGCAACAGAACGAAATATATTCAATTTTCCTTGTCTGTAAGCTGCACCAGGTTCAAGTACTATCCAACAGTACAGGTGTGCGTAAGCGTCGATGAAAACTTTCATTCATATATTTTCAACCTCCGAATCGTTGAGCAAAACCGAAGAACGATTACATAGTTTACGTCGAGCTGAGACGTAGTCTCGAAAAATAGTGTCTATATTCATTATGTAGGTTATTCGTCTAGCCCAAAGTATGTAACTACAAACGCACATAAGGGTCACACGTATGAAGCACATAAGAGGCGGCGCGCACGCACGACAGCGGATGTGGGCATTCATTGCAAACTTCGAACGTTATTACACCCGCACACAGTCTCGTGTGCGTGCGATTACGCACGTTCCGGTCGTAGTCGTCATCGTCGTAGTAGTAATAATCGTCGACGTTGCCTTTTGCATACACAAGATCGAGCGCCGCTGCCATCGCCGCCCTATGTACACACTCGCAGCTGTTACCGGTTGCTGCACCGTCTTAAAATCATAAACAATACGCGCGGCATATAAAGTGTCTTAATTATGAGATGGAGTGCTATGACGTTTGGATGCCGACGAGCTAGAGAGAGAGAGAGAGAGAGAGAGAGAGAGAGAGAGAGAGAGAAACCTAATTTTTTTTTCTTTTCAACGTTTTGCGAAGCGCTCGTAAAAACGAGCATAGCAAAAGTCCGCTAGGCGTAACGACATGGTGTCGACGACGGCGACGACGATGCCGACTATACGTAGGCAACTGAAAAGTTATATACCACTGCCGAGCTCGTCAAACTGACTGTATAGAAATAATGAGCTCCGGTTGCCTTTTTTTTTTAAACTTTTTTCATCACCCCGTACAAGTGTCCTTTACCTTGCTGTCTCTCTCTCTCTCTCTTCATGTCTCTTCATTTCTCTTTCTCTCTCTCTCTCTCTCTCTCTTTCTTTGTCGCAAAGAGCGCTGTGCTTTTTACTGGTAAGATTTCTTCGAACCATGTACAGGCGCGCGCGACCTTTGAAAATATAGCCTCAGTTCTCTCTCTCTTTTTAGCGTGTAAAAGTTGAAAAATTTAAAGGACCTGAAAGATTTTTCGAGGAAAAGAGGAGGAGACAGAGAGTGAGAGTTAAACAGAGAGAAAGGGAGAGAGTATTAAAGACCAAACCCTCTGGCATATACCAAAAACTTTTCGAGTGATTTTTGTGTATGTGTGCATCAAGCCGTCAGAGAAACGCTGCACTTACACGGATAGAATACGACGTAGCAAAAGCACGAGCGTTACATACACTTTTTCGTTTATATCTTCTACTTCTTCTTCTTCTTCGTCGAGCTTACAGCATGCAAAGTAAAGTGACTACATAAGTTTGAGTTTTATAATTTTTTACGCGCTCACACTTGCGCGCGCAAAGAAAAACTTTTCTGTTTAACGAATATTTGCGAACTGTATTATATCCCCTTCTCCCTTTTTTTTTGTTTTCCATTTGGTAAGTGTATTTTCGGAGAAAATATTAAGTATGCTTGCGTGACACGGCTAGCGTTTTATCATCACTTAAAGACTGTGCGTATACTTCTTTTTCTTCAGCGGTGCGACCACCTTCTCTCTCTCTCCCTCTCTTTCGGTCCTTCGAAAGTTCCCCGGGCTGTGCATAGAACGATGATTCGGTTAGTATAACAATGAAAAGCGGGGCACGGAGATTATTCTTGAAGCCCAAGTTCTGAATGTCATTCTTGCGCTCAGCACCGGGTCTCTCACTCCCTTCCAAGCTCGCTCGCTCGCACTCACTCACTCACTCTCAGTTCTCAGGCTCGCCCCAGAATTTCGCAAAACTTCTTTACGCTTTTAGAGCACGCAGCGTAGCAATTAGAGAATTCAACTTTCAAAAGCGAATATTATATTATATACGCTTTTATACATAGGCATGAGAATCGGAGATATTTCTTCATATTCGTATATAGAGTAAATGTAAGGGCTGCGCAGCGTTCGAGCTTCCGGGAAAGTTGTAAACTCCGAAAATTGGTTCCACTTAATTTACCTTCGAACCGCATTTCTATTTATTATCTCCAACGAAAGAGACAGTAACCTTTCCTCTAACCCCTCCCTCTCCGCCTTCATTATCCTGCGACATATAGCGCGTAAAAAGTATTCAAGCTCGATAAGTTCGCACTTGCTATATTTCCGTTGAATATTTCAAGCCTTAAATGAATTATAAAAAGTCGCTTCATTTCTTCTCTAAAAACGAGTGATTTTATTATTAAAGATTCTTTAAATTCTCCCTTGCAAGCGTTATATACAATATACTTTACATCATTAATTGTTCTTCGATCGCGACAGACACTTTGATTGCATTTAATCAATCAATTGTCACCCTGTATCGCAACCAAATTAATTCGTCATTCTCAAGTAAGAAAAAATCCAATGAACGAAAAAGAATTAGCAATGGGCGCAGGAACTGCGAAATATAAAGTAGGCTTTGCATGCTCACATGCAGTACTGTAGGCGTTAATGGGGCGCGGTAATGTTTGCGAATGACGATAGCTGCGCGAGAGCAAAGCTTTTTAGTTAATGGAAATCACCCCGAAATAGTAACTGGAGAAAAGCTCACCGTTTTAACTTGAAAACCGAAATTATAATAGCTCATGCAAATTGTAAATTTTGATTAGCACTGATTCAATGTTTCACACGTATCCATGGTAGTTCAGGTAATAATGCTTAACCACAATAATGGTCCAGTCACCAAAGAATGAACATTAAAAATTTTTTTAAATACAAAATAAATATAATAAATATTTTCTGTACCGATATGTTAAATAAATTATGCAAAACAGGAAAATTTAATTTTTTCATATGCTAGTACTTGAAGCCTCTAACACTAGATGGCGAGTACCTTTATTTGTAATGCGCAAGAGGCAAAATGAAAGCATTTGTATAAGTTAAAGCAAGGTTTTAAAAAAAATTCAACTGACACTCTTTAAAATTCTGCGACTAAACCTGATGCACATGCTCAGTTGAGAGCGTCACCAAATTTAAAATACACGCGTGAAATTAAAGACGAGTATGACGCCATAACGTGTACGTGTTAGCAGCACACCCTCCCACTCACTCCCTCAAAAAAGCGCATTTATTCCCATTCACCACCTGTGTATACGAGTGTGTATGCGAATAAAAAAAACATATGCACCCTCATATAGATACGCACGCGAGAGAGAAAAGAGTATACCCGCCGGAATGTGTGTTTGCGTTTATATTGCGGATGCTTTTGTGCCACGTACATTCGTGTGTGCACGAGGCTACGTTTAATGTATCACCCGTGCGCCGGTGCATATCCTATACAGCCAGAGGCTGAAACTATTTGGCATTTTTGCGCGAAAAAGATGACGAAGAGTCGGGCTCATGACCATCATTTGGTGTGGGGTGGGCTATCTGTATTCTTCCGTCTGCGATCTCTATTTTACAAGTAAAAAAGCATAGTGGCAAAAAGCTAAAATCGTATAACAGATGGAGCATCTGATACTCCGTCTCGCGTAACGAGTTTCATTCGGCGCGACATTGAAAGAGAGAGGGATGAAAACATGCTCGACTGGCGCATTACAAATCAATTTCCCCGATGATAATTCAAAAAAGTGTTATCCTAATCGCGTCGTACGCGTCGAGCTATACCCATAGATTACGAGTACACCATCAGCAACAGGAAATAATTTTCCTCGCGAGCTTCATTACTCCCATTTGATGATGGATCAAGATTTGTCGTACTTATCAACTAGGATACATCCAAAATCTCAATTCACTCGCGTTACGAAAAATGAATCCGTCTTCACGATTTCCTGCACGCGCACCGGGGCTCGAGACGTCGCCGAGAAAATCTACCACGCACGTGAGAGCTGTGAAGATGCGACCGATAATAAAGAGCCACCACTACCACCGCGCCTCGCAAACATAGAGATGGCGTAATGCAAAAGCTCAACTTCCTTTCAGCTAATCTAAAGGAGTACGAGTAATATACGGGGGAAAAAAGAAAAATATTATTCGATACTCCCTTCGATGGCAAATCCAATTTTCCTCTCTCTACCTTGTGGAAAAGACGCCGTGCAGGGAGAAGAGCAAAAAGCACATAACGAACGGCATACAGCAGCAGCAAACACTCGCGCGCGCTTACATCCCGAGGCGATATGAGGGAAAATGTGGTAAAAGAATCGTACCATATAGCTGTTTCTTTCTCATACGACGTGGCAGACCAGAAGCTGCGGGTAAGAAAATTGCAAATATGTGCCCTTGCGTATATATTATATAGTAGAATACATATACGTACGACATAGAAGTTTTCATTCAAAACGTTTGCTATTTGCGATTGCTTTAAAAATTTTATCCTGCGCGTCGTCGCTGAAGCAATTCCTCCTTTTTTGCGCTCGCTGCAGCATGCATGGATGTAACATGCACGCAGATGCGCGTTTCTCGATTTGGATTTACTTTTTTTTTTCATGATTTCGAAAAGAGGAAAAACATTCGCGAATAATATTCATAGTAGTAGAAGCGATGGGTTCTGCGAGTTCGTGAATATATACATTGATTCGCCACG